CTGGTTTCAGTGCGGTTTGATAGCAGGGGTGCGTAAGGTCACCCCAGGGTTGGTCTAAAGGGAAAACCTCTTCATGTTACATAACAAGAGCAATAAAAATTGTATAAAAGAATGAGAAACAACATCTGACTCATTCTACATGTGTAATTGTAAATTATGTTTTTGAAGGCTTAATTGATTGTACATTTTGCCTAATAGCAGGTACTAATAGCCAAATGGCTGTGTGTTAGAGGCATAGAAAGTCATGCACAGCCTGAGGGCAATACAGGATGCGCAAAACTAAAATGTTAAAGGGGAACAAGTGTTTGATTATGTGGTGACTTGTTTTATGCATTTCATACTATGATGAAACACCTTGATATGCAATGTACCAGATGCCATGGTTGAAAAGGAACTTATGCTGCTTTTTAGCTGGATCAGTGTTCTTTTTGAAAACCCATGCAATGCCAAATGAAGATTTAATAGCCTGTGCAATTACTAAGTCTAATTAGCAGCCAGTGAGTTTAGATGCTGTAAATTTCAGGATTGTTTCCACTGATTCATTGGTGCTGATGAGGCCTGAATCAACACAATGTGGTTGGACAGATGGACGAACCTAAAGGGACAATAGGCCTTATAAACTACAAATAGGCTGCAAGATTTCTTTATATGTCAAATTATTTTCTTTTTTAGCATGTCTGCATGTAAAGAAACTGTTTTGGACTGGCTATGCAGTGATTCAGTGTTCAAAGTGTATTCGATATTTGTCATTTTAGTGTTCTGTAAATCTAGAAGCAACTGTTTTGGTATTTAGAGAAGGTTCCATGCTGCAAGTTTTAAAAGCATCAACTCAAATGCATTGAATTAGTTCATATTTAAAGCATCAATCAAGTAGCCATATCAGAGCAATGCAATATGCAATGGTTTGCATTGTCATAATCCGTGCAAAAGGCAGTGTAATGGGAATGAATGATATGTTGAAGGATATTTTACAGTGGGACAAAACATGTCTATTAAGAGTTAGTCCGGCTATTTGCATTGATTGAATCCTATATGTACTGAATTATTTGTCATCAGTGTGTTGTAATATTTCTCTAGTAATGTTGAATTGTATATAATTTACATATAATCTCATATCATAATGTAATTTCTGTAAGTAATTTTGGAAGAACACAGTTTAAGGTTCGTCTGACGCAACTCAAACTGCTTTGGCGCCATTAGCGTGAGGTAAGATGGCTTTTCATACAACTGTTTTAAACAAGCAAAACATATTTTTTTTATGATATTCTAGAAATAAGGAAAACTATATAGCGCCCCGTTATGACCGTAAGTAGATTTTTAATGAATGAAAACGGAAAGCTCACATGACATAGGCTACCGCGTCAGGTAAATAAATGAAAATACGTTTGTTCATTCGAACTTTTGTGGTCTCTTAAACGCTTGAAAACAATATTGAACGTTCTTCGTGGTATCTCTAGAATTAATACTGAATTAAAACGTCTTAAGACATACTTCTGTGGCGTTTAAACCTTTAAATAGAAGCGGTCAAAACCCTAATTCGCACCCTCATTGAAAGCATCAATCAAGTAGCCTAATCAGTGCCATAGTATACAATGGTTTTCATTATTTTGATAATCAGCGCAGATGGCAGTGTAATGGAAACTGATGGTATGTAAAGTACATTTAGAGTGTCTAATAAGATGTAGTGACTAAAAGGAATATCTCATGCAATTAAACCGAGGCTTCTGTATAGAGAGCAAAGCACTATATGCGCTGAGGAAGCGGATCGCCTGTAAAGCGGCACTGCGGCAGTACTGTATCAATGCGCCCGGTCCCCGCTCGCTTCGGGTTCCTGAAGCACGGACTCGCGGAGAGGAGTAGTGTCGCTTCCTTGCAGGATTTATTTGTTTGTGGAAAAATTTCTCTTTTGTTTTCCGTTCTAGAGCAGCGCGCTTTCCGAATGCCGACGACTCGCTCGGACGGCCCTCCTCCACTCGCCAGGCTTTGCATGTGCGGCTTTTGTCCTGCAGGAGAGAAGGCAGGCTTTGTGTTTTGGTGGATCTAGAGCTGAAGGAGGCACTGCCAGGCGCTGCTGCTGCTGCTGCTGTGGGTTGGACCGGCTACGGTGCGTGAGATTTACTGACGGAGAGAGAAAGAGAGAGAGAGAGAGACAAAAAGGACTCATGGAAGACAGCGAGAGTGAAGGGAGGACTGGCAGGGAGTGTAAATACATTAAAACCATTTATATATTTGGGGTGTGTGTGCGTGCGCGCGCGCGTGTGTGACAGGAGTGCCAGCACGCACCATCATCAGGTTAAAAGGGATATGTGGTTGGGAATGGCTTTGTAATAATAGCCCACCTGGACCATTGGTCATTGCTATTGGTAAAATGTTTCTGGAATGCATAATTTATTCGAAAAAGTCAGATTGCAATGCTGATATTCAGTGGTTTGGTAGTGGTGGATTTTGAAGGCAGATGAAGGTTGGTGGCTAGTGAAGTTTAAGTTGATGGGTGTCTATGATGTCATAATGTAGCTGTTGTAGATGTTCATGTCATCTTGTGAAGTTCTCGTTGATGCTTGATTATGATGTCCGTGTATTAATTTCACTAGATAACATACACTTACAATTATGGCTAGTTGTGATATAATGTCTTGTTTATGTCATCAGATGATGTTTAAGTTGATGCTTGATTATGATGTCATAATGTAGTTGTGGATTTGGTAAAGCTGATTGATTATGATGTCATTGTTGCTACTGTAAATGTTCATGTTATCTTGTAAAGTTTACATTTTTGGCTGATTGTCATCATAATGTAGGTGTTCATGTCATCTAATGATGGTTAAGTTAATGCTTGATAATGATGTCAGTGATTTAGTGAAGTTGATGGATGATTATGATGTCATAATGTACATGCTGTGTATGTTTGTGTGATTTAGTTTGAAGCTGAGAGCAGATTATGATGTCATAGTCTGCTGCTGCTGTGGGTTGGACCGGCTACGGTGCGTGAGATTTACTGACGGAGAGAGAAAGAGAGAGAGAGAGACAAAAAGGACTCATGGAAGACAGCGAGAGTGAAGGGAGGACTGGCAGGGAGTGTAAATACATTAAAACCATTTATATATTTGGGGTGTGTGTGCGTGCGCGCGCGCGTGTGTGACAGGAGTGCCAGCACAGGGCATCATCAGGTTAAAAGGGATATGTGGTTGGGAATGGCTTTGTAATAATAGCCCACCTGGACCATTGGTCATTGCTATTGGTAAAATGTTTCTGGAATGCATAATTTATTCGAAAAAGTCAGATTGCAATGCTGATATTCAGTGGTTTGGTAGTGGTGGATTTTGAAGGCAGATGAAGGTTGGTGGCTAGTGAAGTTTAAGTTGATGGGTGTCTATGATGTCATAATGTAGCTGTTGTAGATGTTCATGTCATCTTGTGAAGTTCTCGTTGATGCTTGATTATGATGTCCGTGTATTAATTTCACTAGATAACATACACTTACAATTATGGCTAGTTGTGATATAATGTCTTGTTTATGTCATCAGATGATGTTTAAGTTGATGCTTGATTATGATGTCATAATGTAGTTGTGGATTTGGTAAAGCTGATTGATTATGATGTCATTGTTGCTACTGTAAATGTTCATGTTATCTTGTAAAGTTTACATTTTTGGCTGATTGTCATCATAATGTAGGTGTTCATGTCATCTAATGATGGTTAAGTTAATGCTTGATAATGATGTCAGTGATTTAGTGAAGTTGATGGATGATTATGATGTCATAATGTACATGCTGTGTATGTTTGTGTGATTTAGTTTGAAGCTGAGAGCAGATTATGATGTCATAGTGTAGCTACTAAAGATGTTCATGTCATTTGGTGAGTTTGAAGATTGATGATCATGATGTCATAATGCAGCTATTGTAGATGTTCAGGTCACAGATTTTTGTCATATATTTAAATTTCAGTCACAGACTGGAGATGATTCTGCTAAAAACTTAAGCACACTTGACAGAATTAATGACAGAATTATTTATTATTTTGAGCAATGTCATTGTTTTATTTTGAGATTAATGAAAAATAATGCCTAGCATGAATAATTTCAGCGGATGTTAGTAATTGCTATTCAGATGAAACACCTCTTTGATAACTCCGAGTGTGGCAAGTTGTAGTGAAGGTTTTCAGGGTTTTATCTATAGTTTGGTGACATTGAAAAATGAACAGAGGAACCCTGAGTAGAGATTATCAGTAGAGTGCAGAATGATTGTGGCTGTTTTTGTGTTAAGTACATAGATGTAACTGTATACAGAAGATGACTGGAAGTCAGCCATAAATGTTCTGTCAGTGTAATCAGCTGAACTAAAATTTGCTGTGAGAAAATGACATTTTTTTCCTTGATCTACAGCTCTGTTAAGAAAAATGAATAATTTCCCCCCTCCTGTCTCCGGTTATAGCAGTCTCAGAATAATGACAGTGTGCAGGAGGAGAAATATAAGCTCTTGAATATGTAATACTGGAGATCTAGACCCAGCTCTGTAAATGGCTCATTATGTGATGTATTTAATCTGCAAGAACACATTCTGAATAATTTTGTTTTCTTTCAAGAAACTGTAAGATCTGGGAAGAAGGGAATGTGAAAGTGACTGTAGTCATTGTGGAATTAGATCAAAAGGAAGGCATCTTAAGATGATCTCTTGCAGAGAGTCCAAATGTGTTGTGAAAATCGCTTTATTCATATGCCTGCATGCATGATATATTCCTATGTATAGCTAAAGGTGGGGATTCTGGGAAGGCTCTCTGAGAGAACATTTCAAACGTCTGCTCTCTGTCTCTTTGACTTGTAGGATGGGAAGGAGTCAGACTGCACTTAAACAGAGTGTTGGGTCCATGAGGACAGCCATGCGGAGACCTGCTACAGCTCTGTTAGAAGACGCTTCAAGTGATCTGCCAGTTTGTTTCCCTTAAACGTGGGCTGAATTTGGAAGTTTGGATCCAGCTTGGCAACCCTTAACAGGATTCGATTTTGGATTTCTGTGCTTGAGGATATATGCATTTATCCTTCTGGAATCTCATGTGCGTATTGCACTCCAAGCAAAGTCGCATGCCATCAGCTGGTTTTGGAATTTGGATAATTGCACATCTCTCACTGGAGTACAGTTATTGAGCTTTCCATTACAGGTGTTTGTTGGGAATCGTTCTTCATCCACCTCTGAGCACGGGCCGAGAGCCTCCTAACAGGAAGTGTTCGGTTGGGTGTGTCATCTGGTGAAATGGATGGCCCACAGAAAAAGCGGAAGTCTCGGTCGGTGCGAAACCGGGAGCGCGTGTCTAACGGGATCAGGAATAACCATGTCCGCGGCTCCATGCTTCGATTCTCCTCGGATTCAGAGAAGGAAGACCGCACCAACCCCTCCTCTTCCACACGACCCAGGCCACCGAGGAGGAAGAGAAAGGAGTCTACCTCTGCTGAGGAGGACATCATTGATGGATTCTCAATATCGGGATTTATGACGCTGGAAGCTCTTGAGGTAAGAGACTTGTACTGCAGCCTTTGCGTGAATGTGTTTTTAACTGCTGTTTTTTGGAAGTGCTTGTTTGGTTTGGCTGTGAAAAGCTCAGTTGCGGCATAATGACTGGTTTATTATTGTCTGTAGACTGCTTCTTTCTGGACTCTAATTGCCTGGGTCTGTTTTGCACAGTATTGAATTTTCTGTTGTTCCTCAGTGAGTGTGTTTGTGATTCAAGTAGATGTGGCTTTTTAAGTCATTTTCCTGCCAAAGATGTAAAGTGTGTCCAAATTTGCTTGATTGCTTTTGTAGTATACATTCATACTTAAAATTCCAACATGAAGTGCACTTCATATACCCGGATGATGCACTTATTTTATTGAAAAAAAGAAAAAGAAAAGAAATGAAAATGTAGAAGAATAAAAGGGGGATCAGACTCTGATGTTGGATGAGAAAATAACCATGTAAAATTCATGCGCTAGACATTTGAGTGTCTGTCTAGTGTGCCATTTGGGAGACAGCCACAACTGTGGATGTCCGCTGTGATGTGGTACTTCTTTAAGATGCTGTTTTGAGAAGATTGACAAAGTTGTTTTAGATTGAGTTTGATGCCTGAATACTAAGAGTCTAATATAAATATACAGAAATCATCATATGTAGAAATGATGTCATAATGTAGCTGCTGAAGATGTTCATGTCATCTGGTGAAGCTGAAGATGGATGATCATGATGGCATAATGTAACTACTGTAGATGTTCAGGTTACAGATTTCCGTCGTATATTTAGATTTTAGTCACAGAATTTTGGTAAGAAAGATATTTCTGCTGAAAAGCTTCATTAGTTTAAAAAACAACTTAAACACACAACTTGAACAAAGCCTTGTATCATTTTGTGATGAAAAAAAGAAAAGAAAAATAATACCTGCAGTAGAAAGAATAATTTCAGCTGATCTAAGTTTAAAGTTTAACTGTACTTCTATTAGGGGTGTAAGAAAATATCGATACACGTGAGTATCGCGATATTTCGTTTGGCGATACTGTATCGATTCTCAAAAACGGAATATCGTTTGAGAATGTTTAACATCTGTATTTATTTTATTGTTTTAAAATTGTTTTGTTTTCTTTAGAAATCCTGCAAGCTTCTTTTTATAAAATACAATTTTATACATTTAACTAAAGGATCCTGCAAGCACTTACATTTTTTCCCCTTGACTCGTACTGGTCAAAACGTGGTTCAATAACGATGAATGTTACAGGGACTGATTATTGCTAATGCAGATCCCACTGTGTTCTGGTTAAATAATTGTTATTTACTTTATTTATTTATTGCTAAGGTTTGCATATGGTGGTGTGTTCTTTATGACAGCTTTCCTAAAAATATATCCAATTCCTAAAATAAGAAATATCCCAATTGCTTACAGTATCGCAACATATCGTATCACAACCCCTGTATCGTGATACGTATCGTATCGCCAGATTCTTGCCAATACACAGCCCTAACTTCTATAGAAATTTATTTCAATATTTCAATGTTATTGTTTAATTTTTTAATTAATCATATTTTGTAAATAAAAACTAAACTAAATATATAAATAAAAAAGATTGGGCATGCAGGTGTATTCACGTATGGTTACAATTTAGTTTTTTTTTTTTTGCCGTCATTCACTGTTACTTCCATATTGTGTTTCTGACTTTGATGTGTTATATCGTAGGTGCTTCCCAGGAGCACTTGTCAGCAGCATTGGCCTTCACCATTGTTTCATTTGTCAGTCTTGACAGGACATCTGTAGAGTGCCATCCTGACTTTCAGCGTCGCTCTTGCTGTTAAAAGCCCAAGAGTGTGACACGACAAAGCTTTGCACGCTTTACCCTCACATCCCCTACAGATGCTGTTGCATTGTGTTGCATGTTCACTACAGTAATCTGTGAAAGGAGCCCGTCAGCAGCTTACGCTGTCACGCTAGCGCTGTGAACCGCAGGCGCAGTTCTCCAGGGGTGACATCCAATTCACCGCTCTTTACTGTTCTGGGATCTGTGACTCATAGCCATCCCCTTCATGCTATGTCGTTTTGCTCCATTTAGAACCTCACAGAGCAGGAGATCCTAGTCTAGATCCTGCATGTCAACGATCAGCTTCATTCTCATTCATGCAGCTGAGATGATCATGGGACTTAACGAGCCAGTGGAACTAGACAAATCAAACGTACAGTATGTTAGCCTATTCTATAACATAAAGTCTTTTAATAAATTACTATTTTAATGCTGTAATCATAAAAAAGAGTATTATTACTGTTTGTTGCAGCTTTTGTTTTAGTTGTGTTTCTTGTTTAGTTTTAGTTGTTTTTTGTTTTGTTTTGTCTGTAGTTTTGTGTTTTAGTTTAGTTTGTTGTGATGTTTTGTTTTGTTTTGTTTTAGTTGTGTTTTGTGTTGTGTTGTGGGTTTTTTTGCCATTATTTTTAAAAGGTTTGGAAATAATGAGGAAGATAATGAAACTAGATGGGGAAATGAATGACAAAAGCTGGAATCGCATTTTCTGCATAAACACCAGAGGTAAACATATCAGCGCAAACCACTATGCCACAGCTCCAATTTTATTGCATTTATTTTTTTCACATGAATCTATATCCATTTTGCACTGATTGTTTGCTGTTGTGATTTTGGCCCATAAATGTAGCAGTTAGGGATGCACGATATTATCGGACCAATATCAGAATCGGCTGATAATGGCTTTAAATGGAAATATCGGCATCAGCCTGATATGAAAAATTACACCGATATATCTTTCCGATAAGAGGAATACATTAACTCACATGTGCTCAGGGTGTGCTAGCGATTAGCTCACGTCAACAGTGAGATTAGATCACATCAGCAGTGTGGCTCATTCTTGAAGCAGTTTTGCCTGAATGATGATTGGATTCACTGTTTTGGATTGCTGCATTTAAACTGAGAATGCACATACAGAATGACGCATTCAGTGTATGATAGAGTAAACAGTAATAGCATGTGCAGCGGCAGCCTCCCCCAGGTCCTAATGCCCGCTCAGTAAGGAGTTTTAATTCCGTAGGGGGCGCTGTTGGCCTACTTCTAATAAAATAAAAGCAAAATACACAAATCATATTTAGACTGTGTTTATAAAGCAGTAATTGATGCCATAAAATCATGAGTATGTTTTGATTTAAAGGTCAGAAGGTATAGTTTACATGAAAAAAAAATCACAAACATGACACTTAAATTAAATAATTTTATATATACTGATTTATTCATTAATGTGTAATATGTTGTATTTTTAAAACAAATTATGAGCTCTAAAAGATTTTCAGAATTTGTACAACTCTTTTGCTTTAGACCATTTACAAATGTTAGATCTTAAAATAAAATGTTAAGGTTACCACTGCATCTTTCTGAAAAAAATGCAGCATTTGAATATAGTTTATTTATAGTTATTTTCAAATGTTCAATGTACTGTCATTATAAACGAACTTCATTATTGTTTGTTTAATTCTAACAAATAAGTTCTTGTTAAAAACGAACTAAAATGAAAAATAATTTGCTTATAATTTCTGCACAGGAGAGACTTGGTGCTGTTTCCAAACAAAAGGAAATATATTGGTATTGGCATTGGCTATTGGCTATCGGCCAAAATGTGTTGAAAAATATCGGCATATCGGATATCGGCAAAAATCCAATATCGTGCATCCCTAGTAGCAGTGTTTGTTTGTCCATATGGATCAGCGTTTACATTACATCAGAGCCATCTTACTTTTTATCCAATAGTACACCTATTCTCTCTTTATCCAATTTCATTTAAATGGTACCTCTCTCTCTCTTCCTTCTATTTCTTGTCCTTCTTTTACAACAATCCCTTGATAGTTTCAATCTGAAAAGGAATTTGTCCTCAATTTGCCAGGAGGTGCTTGAGGAATTCGTACAGGTATTCCCAAATGACACATTGAAATCAAACTCGTTCCACTCCAGTGGACAGACTCTCTCATACAGAAGTGAGCCATCAGCAGCGGGTGTTTATTAATGCTGCTTAGTGCTGGAACGACAAGCCTGAGAGGCAGTGTGCTACACCACTTTGAGAAATTACTAAATCATCAGGCCCGGGCCTCCTCGACATACCTCCTCCCCCTTGGTCCCTGAGTACAAAGTTGCCACGTAATCGTTTCAGCCTCCTCCCCCTTGCCCGCCCCGCATCCCCAATTCAATATTACTTAATGCCTGCACCACTGGTGCCCTTAAACCACTTTATGTGATCATTGTGTTGTAAAGCTCCGAGCTCATTTTATTGAGAACAGCAGTCACCCTGCGCGCGTTCCCCACTCCATTGATCCACTCATAAGAAAATGGTTAAGTCAATGTAAATAATACTAATGTGCTAGCACGTGCCTGGCGCAAAGCAAAGCGTTTGTTCTTCACAATGGCTTTTCTCTTTCAGATGACATTCAAAATGGCTTTTCAGATCTTAATATGAACGAATCAAGTGTTTCTTTTTTGTGTTCAACGCTATTATGTTCTCTTCTTTAGCTAAGCTGATGAGTCTAAGTGGCATGTTAATGATTTCAGACTGCGCTTTTATCATTTATAAATATTTACACAGCCTGCAATAACTCAAATGCAGCTCTGGAAAAGAAAATGTCAGTTTTGACATCAGATCAGCATTTCAGAAAGAGACAGGAAAAAGACAGAGTGGAACCCATCATGTCAGGCAGTAGATGGTTGAAAGAGGAAATTGATTCATGGCCAGAGGAGGGGTTGGCACGGGGCCCAGAGGGGCACATTTTTCGTCTGTAATCGCCTAATGCCACAGCAAGACAAAAAGCACCCTGACAACTTGTATCACATATCATTTGATATGTGAATGTGCAATTATGCATTCATGAAGGGTTACAAATAGGCACATGTGTGTTTAGATGCAGTAAGTGTGAATTGTCTTGATAATGTAAATAATGTAAAAAGTCATTAAAGGAAAATTCAGAGTTCAGTACCAGTTAAGCTCAGCTTTTGTGGTATAATGTTAAT